CAGTAATTTTAAAGCAATACATCAATATTTAACGCAAAAACACGAATTACAATTCAAAATCAATTATGATAATAAAAAGCCAAAATTTAAAAAATATATGTAATTTCGGTCAGAAGATCTTTAAAGTATAACATTGCTTCTAATCACCAACTAAGATCATTTTCTTCAATCCTGGGGCTGTTTTCACTGTAAAACTGAGAGTACCATCGTCTATATTTGGCAATTTCTCTGTCGTCTGATACGTAAACTGGATTCTTCAAATACATTTTGTAATTCCATATTCGAATGTCCCGCTCAAACTATAAAAATAAATGTTTCCAATTATTAATACACACGTTTCTTTTATATTTTCAAATTTTAGTAATGTGAATAATACAAACTCACCACATTACTTTCAAGAAAAAAATAAACATAATCACTTATGCGTGCAAATCGAGAAGGAGTGTAAAATTGTCGTATCAATCTCACTCGAACTGGTCCTTCCGGTATAATGCCACATACGAATATTCCATTTCCAAATATACTTTTGAACTGAGCACGCATTATTGCTGGTCCAATCTGAAAAATTAAATATATTTGATAATAATACACAAGCGATCGTTTTATAAAAATTAATTGTTTATAGAAGCATTTAAAATTTTTGCATTGTAGCTAGTCATTTTACGTATCGAAACTTATAAGCGGTAGCATAGTTTCTAGAAGTATTTTTACGCTAATATTGCCCTTCCGTTTTGTCAAAGTACAGTAGACCCCCCTATAACGCTTAGATATGTTCCACGTTAATCGAATTTTACGTTGTAGGAATCATTAAATACATGAGCCAATCGCAACCCGACACGTGTGAAGTTTACGGACTAAGGCTGTTTGAAAAGTTTTCTTCTATAAAACTAACCGATTCTAGACTAATTCTACTGAACATTTTCAAAACACGTATAATTTTTTGGGAATAATCCGTATAAACTATGCTATAAACAAAAAATTTTAGGATTAATTACCGAGTGTGCACCGTTCGACTACGCCGTCGCTCAAGTTTGTTTTATTCGCGGAACAGCGCACGAAACGGAGGCCGCGATTTCTGATAACAAATTTTCGGCAGAAAAATAACTTGACCTTTGGAGACATCATTAATATAAATAATTTTTATTGCCGTTGAATAAGAAATGTTTCTTTCACAAGTAATGTATAAAATTAGTGCTGTATTACACTTACGGTACCTAACTTACATACTGTACAGACGATAATAAACTCAACTTACTAGCCTAAACTCTCTGTAGCGTGGCGCTAGACGGCGGAAATTATATATATAATTATAATAAAGTTACAATAAATGAAGTTAATATATAATTATATGTACAGTACCTAATTTATATATAATTAATATATAATTATATGTACAGTACCTAATTTATATATAATTTATATNTAAACTCTCTGTAGCGTGGCGCTAGACGGCGGAAATTATATATATAATTATAATAAAGTTACAATAAATGAAGTTAATATATAATTATATGTACAGTACCTAATTTATATATAATACTGTACAGACGATAGCAAACTCAATTTAGCCGCTCCGTAGCCTGTTGCAGGGCGAGGTAAAGTAGTTCGGCTGCTCATCCACTATTGGTCCAGATTCTATCAATCTTGTCGCGACACGAGTCGGCGACGACGTTTTAGAAGTTCCTTTATACGAATATTGCTACAATTTTTTCGCTATGTTATAGGAATTTCCGTTGTAGGAACCCACGTTATAGGGGGTCGACTGTATACATGAAATTATAAACTTTCATTAGAATTATTAAATAGATTGTAAAGGCTCGAAAATCCTGTTATCATAATTTTGCCAACCAACAAGTGGCACGGTTTATGGGAGGCTAATCTTTCATAGCCTGTGGACTTGCAAACAGATTTCTAACATACTTTCACGCCATGCAATGAATTGAGAAATATTGGTTTGTAATAAGGTTTCTCTTCTTCGAAAATGAAATTATGCCTGTTGTCCTAGATAAGATTTGAAGAAATAATCTAACTACCGCCAAAATTTGAAACGAAATTTCCGTGTTAATAAGAGTTATGTTTTATCAGTTTTAATTACTTATTAGTTTGCCCACCGATATTTCACTAATAGTATATAGTAATATTTTGGGCTTGATTTTACTTTTAAATAAAATTAAATGAAACAGTTGGAAGACAGAATAAAATTGCTGTTTACTACTATTTAGCGTAATTATCTGTATTCATCTATATGCGTATATTACAGAAAAGAGATTGTTAGGTGTGCAAATAGTTTCTGTTCTAAGATTTTGTTTTATTCCCTTCTGCAGATATCGCGTGGCAAATTGCTGAAATTTTCTTCATTATTTTCTACAATTTTTTGTCAGATTTAGCAAAATGCCGTCTGTGTACTTTTGGAAGAAATGTTTGTATTTGATCGAAATGTCAATGCTTCGTAAATTTTCTGTACTTACCTATAGTTGAGAGATTCAATAGGAGTAAAAGTGGCTAGAAGGGGTTGTAATATTTGTGTTTTAGGTTCGGATGATGTCTTAAGACGAAGTATGTGAAATGTCTGGAATTTTTCTGTTCTATACAGAAATGATATGAGAAAATATTTTCAAAAATTCAGTTCCAAAAACAGATTAACGTATTTTTCATAAATTTTTAGAATTTTCGTATCTCTTTATTACCGAATGTGATAACGCTTTGTAATAGTGACCTGCCACACGTGTAATGTTAAAGTGCCAAATTTCACCATTAATATCTGAAACACCAACGAATCGAGTTAAATAAAATCTAAAATATTTAATCTCCGCGATGAAAACTGAGGAAATAGAGAGGTTGAGGCGCACGTTTTAAACGTGTAAACGTGTACGTGTGACGTTCGGCGCCGCTTTCCCGTAAGCCTAAAGTTTGACAATGGTGTTTGGATAGTCGGTGGAATTACGCTCGACATTCCAAACACCATCGTCAAACTTTTAGGCTTACGGGAAAGCGGCGCCGAACGTCACACGTACACGTTTACACGTTTAAAACGTGCGCCTCAACCTCTCTAATGTTAATGTTCAATAAATTTGTTGCATCGTTCTGGGCTCAAGAAATCCAAAATTTAGCATTTTTGCCTTAGATTTACAACAGGAGAAATATTCCGAAAACTAATCTACCGAAAAACATTATCCTGATGATTTAAACATAGAATATTTATAAAATAATTTTTCATTCAACTTTCCTAGTTTTTATCTACTGTACCTACAGAAAACAAGGAAAAGTATTAAAATCGTAAAAAATTCGCAAATCTGCGTGCCTAGAGACCTATTGTTTACTACTGTATATATAGAAGATAGAATATATGTTTCTCTTTGTTCTTAGATTTCTATTATGCATTTTATTATATATATATATATATATATACTAGCTGCAACGACCCGCTTCGCTGGGTTTTTATTTGTTCGTACATTTGTATGTAATATAGTTTNGGGTGCAAGAAACCTTTTGGGACCCTATAATTTTTTCAAAGGTAAAAATAAAAGGATTCGAAATAAACATGTATTGCGTAATATGTATTTATTTAAATATGCGATTTTTTTGCTATGTCATTAAGCATTTCAGAAAAGTTACAATTTTTGCAATTTTTTTCCGATGCTTAAAATAGCAAGTGAAGTTAAACGTTTTTCACACATACTTGACCGAAGATAATTCTTTATTAATTTGAATTTGCTAAAAGAACGCTCTGCACTTGCTATAGTAACTAATAACACGAAGAAAATTTTTAATACAGTTAGCACATTTAGATATAGTTCATTATAGTTATTATTTAATATGTATTGCAATATGTCTTGCGTGTTATTTACATATTTTTGGTCCAAGATCAATTCTCGTAACAAATAAATTTCCTGGATTAAGTCTTCATTAATATCTTTTACTATAAAATTTTACAAAACTTCTTGAAAGGTTTTTTAATTAATTTTTTTCTAATGTTCTTATATCAGTGATTAATTATTTTCCCTTTTAATTTCGTAAATTATTTATAAAATATAATTACATCTGATAAGCTTAGTAATCAGTTTTCTTGCTTTTATCTATTACTGTAAATGCAGTTCTTTACGTGACTTCACAAGATCGATAATCATTTTTATTTGAATATTTATTTCGCTCAGATGTCATTCGTTAATAATTTAGTTTTGAAAAATTTAATTACAGATGAAATTATTTCCGAAAGTATTATATTCGGAATATGTTTTGGAACTTTAAAAGCATTAAAAAAATCGTAAGCAAATATGCAATAACGAATACATCAAAACATTTTTCTTGCCAACCAAATACGATATTCAACTAAAGCTTTTAAATTAATAGTTTCTGTAAAAGGGACTTTATAAATCTTGGTAAAGTGTTTATGATAAAGAAGTAACTAAAAAGTTATTCTCAAAAGAATTATTTTCAATATTATCAATAGATGGCACCACATTATAGTCAGCATTAGAGACTACAATATACAGTAAAGCATGTCCAAAACCTTAAAAAAACAAAAACCTATCTAAACGGAAAAATTCGTTTGAATGAAGCGATTTTCCATGTTAAAAAAAACCTGTTCAAAATGGAAACCTACCAAACAGGGAAAAAATATTCGATACCGTGTGATTCCATTTTACACAGATTTTACTGTATATATAGCCTATTTGTGACAATGCCGAAGCATAGGGCCACAGAACCGAAGGGTCGACATTGCGTCAGCGAAGACTGCAATGACTAATTTGTCAGGCGTAAATGCAAACGTAACGGCCACTGTGTCTTCTGAGTAGACACAGAGACTGTTACGTTCGCATTTACGCGCGAGCAGTCGCGTCTGTGGGCGGTTGGACTCGGGATGGAGACCGCTTGAGGAAGTGCACCCAACACAATTCTAACAATAACAAAATTCGTTTATTAAACTAGTTATACAAAAGGGTATTTATCCTAAAGCTTCTTCCTGAGAACCGAGTTGGAGAGAGAGAACTTACATAACATCGCGGGTCGTTATAAATACCTGAAGCAATGTGTACGGATTTCCAAATGGCTGTGGAGTCGTTGGGGAGCCTTGGGAATGTCTCTGTTGCCTTGGATGGCGGTTAAAGTCTATCGGAACTTGAGATTCGTTTGTTCTTCATAGGTGTTCCCGGAAAACACAGGATATTCGGGAGGAGCGCGCGGCGACGAGCGATGATGATAAATCTTTTCGGCTGGCACACACAGGGAATACTCTCGCGGACTCTCAACCCATCACTGTTCCTTGAGTTCTCCTCTTTATTTCCAAGCCACGTTGTTTTCCACCAATAGTGAATTTTTAGTTGTAGTTCCCAGTGACACATTCTGAGTTCCCTGGGAAAGGAAACGACTCCGGGAAGAGAAATGCACTCATCCTCCGGTAATAAAATGGAAAAAAGTTTTTTCTGAGATTTAAATAAATTTCCTTTTCAAAACGAAAAATGAATTTTCTTTCGGAAAATTTTTGAATAAAATTGTGGGGTTTTTTTCAAGTCCGACCTCTCACATATTTACATATAGGAGGCTAGCCAACTACGTGCTTGGCTATTAGCACGTGATCAAAATTCGCTACAATTTAGCCAAATACAAGCTTCTTTTTCCATGTCATTAGCACGGTCGAAACAAAAACCAGGAATTAAGACCTTTTCATTCCATAATTACTCTTTGTATGACATTCAGTTTTTACACTAATTGAAAATAATTCATGTAAACTTTACGATAGTGGTATAAAATCAAACAATCGTATGTAAATTTTCAAAATTAAGGTAATTGTTTGATAGTATAATCAAATTGGGAGGTTGGGACAGGAAAATATTAGAAAGAAGAAAATTAACACCGAAAATATATTAAAAACAGTGCTTTTCATTAGAATCGTCTGAAGAAAGTAACAAATTCAATAGTTATAATAATAATAAAAAATTCAGTAACAAGTTGTGTAACTTTCCCAGCGAAAAACACTAAGCATCAGCAAACAATTAAAATTGTCTATAACGCCATCAGTTATGAGATTTTGTTAAAAATATCTTTTATATTATTAATTATTATGAAATGGCAAAAAGTTTAATTTTGAGGTTAGAAACGAGTATCATAAAAATACTAATAACGATTAAATTCTTCATTAATCTGAACCCACCTGAGATATGACACATGACCCTCTATATCTCCAACCCACTTGATGTTTAATCACCAAAATTTAATTCTATACACAAAAGCTATCATGCCAAATTTTGTTTCTTAATCATTACTCCATTCTGAGATGTTAAATGAATAGACACCAAAACACCTACGGAATTTTTTCCGTTTTTAAACATTTTTAGGTTCAGGGGTTTCAAAATGTTGAAATTTAGAAAAAGCTCGCAAGATCAAATTTGACATGATTCCTACACTTTCCTATGTTACCGTATATTCATAACAATCCAGAAAAATAAAATACAACATTTACTGTGAGCTTTTTCGCATGAAATATGCAATTAATGAAATTAAAATTTGCAAATTATTCAAAATCAAAATGAAAATCTTTGAAAACATATTTGATCAGAATCCTTTCAAGACGTGTAATTTTAGTGATTTATCGCATTTTTTTTCACATCAATGAGACAAAAAAATATTTGCTGAAAATTTTATAAATTAACTAGCTGCAAGGATCCGCTTCGCTGGACAAAAAATAACGATAGTGAAGATTAAGATAATTACATTATAACCAATCTTACCCGTTTTCACAGAATGCAAGAATTAGGTCCCCCGTTTCCAGACTAACTAGAGAATTTTTACGTCCAGTCAAACGAACTATTTTCAGTTTGATCAATTTTCTGGAACGTTTACAATCGTTCTATAATCGAACCAATTCGAATTCGAATACAAATTCGAATTTAAAACAGTTCGAACATTTTTAAAATCGAAATAGAAAATCTTCGAAGTCAACCACTTTAAGCCCCCATATCTCCCGCACCCTTATAGCTATCGAGACGCAACCACCATAGTGCACGAATGGAGACTTGGGGCTACTACCACATGCAAACATCATTCATGTGCGATGTGTATTTTTTTTTGTTGTAATAAAGTATTTTTGCATGCCGATCAGTTTCTGGATAGAACCTAGAATATATTTAATTTTGATAAATTTACTACAGACCCAAAATATTGGGTCTGTAGTAAATTTATCAAAATTATACAGACCCAAACAGACCCAACCCAAATTATTGGGTCTGTAGTCAATGAAATGTAGCTGATGAATATTTATATAAGAATATTGCCAATTGGAATTCCATTTGATTTTAATTACAGGTCCTCTGTAGTGCTGGCTTCACTTTCATATTGTTGTGTATTGATGGATAGTTTTTCTTACAAAAACACATGCTACAAATGAATTACGTAAATATTTATTAGTATTAATATTTTAAAGAGCATAAGTACAGTAAGAAAGTACAGCAAGAAAGTACAGCTCTTTGGAATATTTTCTTACTGTTGTTGCGAAAAGAAGCCAAATTCGAAAATAAAATCCATCCAACATAGGACATTGTCTACAGAATAAAAATACGGTATATAAATGTCGCTAAAACCTGGATGAGAATTCTAATGCAAAAATATTTGAAATTAATATTATCTAACGAATATAAGAAATCCTGACCGAAATTAATGTTAACATAAAAAGAGCTTTCACTCCTGTAAGTAAAACTTTTGCAAACTAAACACGCCATAAACAATGATTCTTAAGAACAGTGCCTATAGACAAGAGATGTTACCTGTAGTAACCGCTATAAATTTGACGAAAAAATCATATAACTAGTGAATTATCACGCGCGTATTCAGTTTAGTTTATGTAATAATCACATTCTTATATTAATAAATGATTATCGGATCAGTAATATTGAATGTAAGCTAATCAATTGTAAAAAAACCATCGACCAGTACTTGGGACGAGACAACTTGGGAATATCAAGTGTTGCTGTCATCTTCCCCCCTCTTTAAGTTTTTTTTTAATTCTTTCTTTTTCTTTCAAATGAATTTTATGATCCACAACATTTTCACATGCTTTGAAAATGTTGCCGTGAAAAGGAGAACCACCTTTCAGATGAATTAGATGGTGCATTGTAAAATTGAAGCCAAATGCACTGAATAAACTTCCATTCGTCTTCAGACAGAAATAGGACTTTTAGCAAAGTTGATTTTTTACTTGAAACGAACACGAGAACGACAAAATCACGTGATATGCATCTGTTTTGAAATTATCTCGAATCCTCAAAAGCGTCTACCGTGATGTCCTTTAGCTACCTTGTGACGCCTAGCTTGTTCTGAATGTTGTGTAGAGGAGAACTGGGTAAGGACGCTCGCTGGTCACTGCCTCGGCTGGGTCCTCAGGAGTCTATGACAAAGGTTATGGAGCCAGATGTCTGAAAAATCACACAATCCATGTTTTACGTCTGTAGGAAGTAGCCATTGGTCACATGCTCTACAAACACACACACACAAATTGCACTCACTGAGCGGTCATCCTCCTCCTGCTTCTCCTCGTCGTCATCCTCGTGCACTGGAACATTGAAACAGGGCTCGTCGGGCGGCAGATACTGCTGAACAGGCACTCCGATTGTGAGGAGTCCCTTACAATCGGATTCGATAGACCACCAGGATGCCTCCAAGAAAACGTCGGAATTGTGTCTGATGGTATAGGCACCTAGGACAGGAATTGCCTCCTGTAGATGTAAGCACATATGTAACGTTGTAGGTTTTTGTTCGTGCGGAGAAACTTGGTAGACTTCTTCAGCCAGCGATTTCTAATCTCGATGTTCTGAGTATGAGCTTTGGAATCATTAGTATCGACGAATCTGCATGAAAAAAACAACAATTTCGAATTTTAATAATGCCTCTTCATTTGCTTCAGTTAATCTATTGCAGCTGTTCCTCCTCCTTAATTTCGACACGTTGACTGTGGTCTACGATGTTATGATTACAGAAGCCCAAAGCCGTGCAACCGTGATATTAGACCGCATTGTCAGAAACAATGACAGAACCAGGAGCGATGTAACTGAGGATTTGGCGCCAGAGAACTCGGCGGCCCTTGTCATCCATCTGATAGAATACAAGAAATACAATGTAAAACGTCACAAAATCATCCTTCGATTGCACTGTTATATATACACATCGCTGCGACCACAACGGGATCCATGCGCCATTGTATGCTTCGCGATCGTGCATGTGTAACGCTCACAAACGATCGCTTCTCATAGTGCTGCGGCGTGCATGATGACGTTGCTCGTGTTTTCCGTCCGTCCATCTTTCTCGTCTAATTGCGTACATGATACCTTGGCTGATAGGGTCGGTTTATTATGCTCTACAACTAATAACTTAGCGTCCGTTGAGAAACTAATTCGATCGGACTCGATCGTCTGCCGTCAAGATCTGGCGTTGTGCCATGAATTAACTACAACTGCCATAGCAAACGGAAACGCAAATATTCCGCACGCAGGTGTGATATATAATCAAATTGGCCAATTACTATAATTGGCCCATTGCCAATCATTGGATGACGACGATGTTCGTGGTATACACCCGCGCATATCGGCGATTGGTTAACGTCGAATGACTGTGGAGATCGGTGGACCCAATGAGTCACTCGCGAAGTTCCGCGCGCCTGTCGGCAAACCGCGACGTCATTCACGATAGTCGGTGCCGTTGCCGTAGCATGCGAAAACTAAACATGATACATGAATGATAATCGAAAACTCAAAACAATTTTGTTTTGAGTTTTCGATTTTCATCCACGTAGCGAAACAAAACAAAATTGTTTACTACTTATATTCCAGTTCGCGCGTTTCCCGACAGTAGGCACCAAATATTGTGATTTGGAAGCCTCTTGTTAAGCGGGTCTGGTTGTATTTTCGTCTCCTGGTGAAGGTTTCGTCGATCTGAAAAGAAAAGTAGAAATTTCAATGACAGTAGCATAAAGATGTGTCTCAGACACTACAGACACGGGACGAGCATCACATCGACATGTAAATTTTCATAGACAAGCTAGATGTTCTGCTTGTGGGAGACAAAAACCTTCACAACTTCCTGGCAAAAGTTGTATCAATCTACTGCTGTATGCGGGCCACTCATCATCCGCGCGTGGCAACATTGACCAATTTTTGCTTCGTCCACAAGTAAATCAGTTTTAATACCCGAGGAATACAATCAAAAATATCATATATTGTTATCTTATTTGATACGACCAATATAAACAAACACAGAACATAAGGCGAAAGATAAAAATAAGCCAGATGATGCTGTCAATTCGTCTTCTCGATTGTTTTACAGCAATTTTTCACAGCAGTAGACGAATTCAAACCCGTTAAGTGAAGCCGGTTCCTTGCGCATCCGGCCTGAAAATTATAATACAGTAGAGCATCGATTATCCGACCCCCGATCAACCGTCACATCGGTTAACCGACCGTCCTAGTCGGCAAATTTCAAATGTCCGCTAGTGATGTGGCGCTACAATATTTGGCTATGTCTTGGCTACTTTAATATTATTTTTGTTAAATTTTTGCGTGTTTTAGCTGGCAACACGGCTCGACCATGAAAGGGAGGCCAGTATTTAAACGAGACTTAATTTTCTAATTATGAGTGGTTGTTTGTTTTGTGAGCAATAAAATAATTTAAAAATATTTTGATGATATGGAACCGTGCTTTACAATTTGTTTATGCTTCTAACACAATAAAGTGGTATAAATTAAGACACTTGGCGGGTTTTCTCATCCTTATTTAGTTGATACGTGTGAAAATTTTACACGTTTCGGGCTCTTAAGCCCCTCTTCAGCCAACTAAAACATTAAAAAAGAATATAACATACATATAAAAAATATAACATACATATAAAAACACAAGTATTGTAGAAATCATAAAAATATAAAACGTACCTTTCACTTACAAAACAGTTCTACAAAATCCCTGATCTAAAACATATTTTGGACATAAACTTATTATATAACCAATATAAACTATAAAACATATTTTGGACATATTCTTGAGATAAACATACACTGGACAGCAATTATCAAATTGGTATACAATTAATTATGCTTTCTACTCATAAATCTGTTTACAAAATCCTTATTTCCTTTGATACGCATTGACAATATAATACGAATTTACATAACTTCTACAATATAAATTTACATATCTGACATCTACTATATTTTACAATGTATGATTGTTGATTTATTTAACATTTCAATATTTAATATTATAGATTATTATTTGAACTAATGATATTACAATGTCTTGAAGTTGGTAAACATTATTAACATTTAATGTAGATTTACATATTATTTGACTCCCATTACAACATTACAGTTTTTTGTTATTGTTGATTTATTTAACAGTTCAATAATTATTAATTAGCACATTGATCACAATAATAATAATTTGAATCCAGTGAATATAATCAATATAAAATTTTTAACCAGTTTTCGTTTATAGAGATGCTAGGATTTTTATTTATACTATTTTGATTTTTGATTATTTCTATACTTTCTTTGAATTTTCTTTTATATGTATCTTTTTCTCTGTGTAAAATATCTATATTATTTTTGTCTATATTACAATTATTTAAAAGGCAGTGTTCATGAAAAGCAGAATTTAGTCTACGATATTTCAAATCGGCTATATGTTCTTTCAATCTTACTTTAACTTTACGTTTAGTTTCACCTATATAAAATTTTTTATTTTCGCATGTACACGGAATTTTATAGACTACATTTTTACTTTCTTCTTTCTTTGTTATATTTGTTTTGTTAACTTGTTTTGCATTTAATCTGGAGATTAGCTTATCGTATGTCGGTACTAGTTTTACATTAATTTTTTTGACTTCTTTATTAACTTCTTCGTATAGACCTTTTATATATGGGAAACGAATGTATTTTATTTCGGCTTGTTTAGGATCTATTCTTATTGTTTTATCTGTTTTTTTATCTATTTCTTTTTCCCAAATATTAAGGATTCTGTTTGGGTATCCTGAAAGAATAAATTTTTTCTTTAGTGTATTTAAATGTTCGATTTGTTTAGTATTTATACTAGTTCTATTTTTGATTTTAGTGTATTCCATATTAAATATGTTTTGTTTTATATGAAGTGGTATGTTAGAATTATAGTTAACTGTGGTATTTATTGAGCACTGCTTTTTAAACGGTTCAAATTCGAGATTTGTATTATTTCTTTTAATTGTAATATCTAAATAATTTATGCTGTTGGTAATTTTATCTTCTTCTTCTATTTTAAATTGAATATTTTTATGGATATTATTTATTATTTTTCTGATTTCATTAGTGTTAATTTCGACTTCATCATATATTATTAGGACATCGTCTACGTATCTTCTGTAGAACTTTATACCATATATGTCACTTATTTCTTTGTCTATATCTATCATTATGATCTCTGCTAGTTTCGGTCCTATTACGGACCCCATACTAATTCCACTATTCTGTGTGTAATATTTACTGTTTATTTCAAAGTAGTTGCTTCTGTAGGTAAATTCGATTAGGTCTATTATTTCAGGTTCAATTTTAAGTTGTGTCAGCTTTGGTTCAATTATTTCCCATATTATGGAAGGGTACATATCAATTATGTCCAGACTTGCAATTCTGTATGTATCTTTTATATCTATCTGTTTAATATCACATAATAGTTCATCAGTATTATAAATAGCAAATTCAGAATTTTGATATATTTTTAGTTTCTGTTTTAGAATTTTCTCAAGATTATATAACGTTGTATTTCTGAAGTCAACTATAGGACGGACGGATTCATCTGCTTTATGGGTTTTAAGTTGTATCTTCATTTTCGGTGTACGATCGTTGTTTTCGCTCAGGATAAATTCTTTTTCATCTTTAGTTAAGCTTTTTAGTTTGTATAGTTTGGTAATTCTATTTTTTAATTCTTTATATATTACTTCTATGGGGTCAATTGGGAGTTCTCTAAATTTATCACTATCAACTAATTCTTGTTTTTTCTTTTTAACCCACTCTTGCTCAACTATAATTATTTGTTTAGATTTATCTGCTTTGATTATTTCTAGTCGATTGTTCTTTAAAAAGTTATGTAATTCTTCAATATTATTTTTATATTTATAATAATTTTTATCTTCTATAGTGGTTTTTCCATTTCTTTTAGTTATATATTTCTCAATCTTATTTGCTAGATTTATTTTGATGATTTTTGATTCTGTATCATTTAACTTATTACATATACGATCTATGTCTGGTATTATGTCCAAAGCATTCCATTGGTTAGGTCCATTAAAATCTAGTCCATTTTGTATTGTCTCCAGGACATTATCAGGAATAACGGTACTTGTTTTATTTAGCACTAACGATCTTTTCCATTCTTCTGTTTCTTCTCTATCTGGATAGTGAAACTTTTTGACTAATTTCTTATATTTATTATCTTCATATTGAGTCAAATTTTAATCTGCTCTACTACTACCGTTTGCTTGTCGCTTTTGTTACATGTTTTTAATATTCGTTTTAGTCGTTTAATTTTTATGTATTTAAATTTTATTGCAGATCTCAATATTTTAAAGTTTAGATATTTCCTATCACGTGTTGGGATATTTTCAGCAATCGACTTTGGCAAAGAAAGTGTCTTTAGAGGTTTTCGTTCTTTTAGGTGTGTCCTTAGATATTGTAAATCAATTAAAGTTTTTTCTATCTCACCTTGTAATTTTTCCTTTTTATATGCGCTGTTCTGGTGTAGTTCTACCTTCATCTTCTTTAAATTTGATGATTTCCGCCGTTTCAATATTCTAACTTCTTATTTTGATGATATGAAACCGTGCTTTACAATTTGTTTATGCTTCTAACACAATAAAGTGGTATAAATTAAGACACTTGGCGGGTTTTCTCATCTTTATTTAGTTGATACGTGTGAAAATTTTACACGTTTCGGGCTCTTAAGCCCCTCTTCAGCCAACTAAAACATTAAAAAAGAATATAACATACATATAAAAACACAAGTATTGTAGAAATCATAAAAATATAAAA